GGTCATAAACTACTGCAAGACCGTTTCAGGCTGGACATAAGGAAGAATTTCTTTACTGTCCGAGCCCCCAAGGTCTGGAACAATCTGCCATCAGAGGTGGTTCAAGCACCTACTCTGAACACCTTCAAGAGAAAATTGGATGCTTATCTTGCTGGGATCCTATGACCCCAGCCGAGTTCCTGTCCTTTGGGTGGGGGGCTGGACTCGATGATCTTCTGAGGTCCCTTCCAGCCCTAATGTCTATGAAATCTATGAAATCCCAGTGGCACCATTACTACTTAGCAGTGCAGGGGGCAGAGAGTTGAAAGCCAGGGGCCAGGACTGGAGCGTAGCCACTCAAGACTCGCATGTGGTCCCAGGGCTGGAACCTATAATTGTCTAGCCCAGCTGATTGTTGACTTACAACTCTTATATGAACCCAGGTTTAGGACAGACAGGACATGTCTAAATGTTCATTAATGCACTGGCAAACGCCTTTTAAGTGACGATAATGCAAAGTAGCCTAATAATACCGTACAGTAGCACATTAGCATTGTTTGTGCCGTGGCATGCTACCGCATGGCATTATTTGGCTACTGTGCTGTTAGGATGTTGTATACATGTGTCCACAGTTGATTGTCAGTCCCAGCCCCAAGACTGCAGCAGAGTCTTGAGCTGCCTGTGGTTACCCTGCCTCATGGTACTTCTTGCATGCAGATATCACACTTTTAAATTCTCATCTAGACAAGACATCAGACACAGAATCTAAAACTTCTGAATAAAATCCCGCAATGGCATGAGGCCCCAATTGTAGTGCCCTTTCTTATGCATGTAATTTTATCAAAGATAATGGTACTACTCCCAGAGAGAAAATTTATGCAAGTAAGGATTTCAGGATCATTTCCAAAGTTTGGATGCCTGTCACTGTATAAGACTTCAAATTTAAAAATGGTATTGCCGTATCTCAAAGTTAAAAATAATGCAGAAAAGTTTTTCTTGCCTCAATTTGATGAGAAATAAGAATAAAAAGACTTGAAAAATTAGACGTGAAAAGTGCTTCTTTCTTCATTATTCCCTTTTGCTCAACTATACAGATCCCTTGTGACCCTGATGGAGCATGTGACAAGACAAACAACAGAAAGGGCACTACTATGGCAGATATATGCTGCGTGTCATGATATTTTATGGAACAAAATGAAGCTGTGGGTTAAAGGATGCTGTCATGGAGCTAACAAACTTTCTAGTGACTTGAAGGCTTTGAAAAAGTATGAAGTAAAGAAGTAACAAAAAGAATCCTGAAGCTCCTGAACTAGATCTAAGAGTGCACTTCCAGATTTAAATTTGGAAAGTCTCTTCCCCTTGTATGCACCCTCAAGTGTGACCTTGCAATTTAAAAAGGCAAGGGGGTGAGAGAGACAACTGACAAAGGAAGCTTATAAATGAGATTTAACTAAGGGATATAATCACTATGTGTGATTGATAAATGTAGTGAGTTAAATAACTACACTGGGAAAGTAAAGAGAAAAGTAAAAGACTGAGGTGTTCAGATACCTCAATTAGGCTCCTAAATTCACTTTAGACTTTTCCTTCCTTCTTTATGTCCTTGTGACAAAGTACTTCAGCAGAATTTTCAGATTCATTGGAATCTGACAGGACTACACTGTGAGAGCTTCTGCTGTGGTCTTGAACTTTGGACTTCTGGACGGTCAACTATGCATCTAGCACTCATACCACTTCAACCCCTATCACTTTTGGCTACATCAGAATAAAAGGCCTGTTCTGTACAGTATTTAAGTATGTGGGTGCTACTATACATTTCTTTCAATAAATATGGATGTAGAATCCTTATTTAGGCAGCATTCTTTTGTAAAATCCAGACCAGGAATTTTAGAGACATGAAGTGCTGTAGTAAAATCTAGGCCTTGCTTACAGAAAACTGTGCTATAGTAAAAGCTTGGCATTGCTTACAGAAAACTGTGCTGTTGTATAAATTAAGGTAATCAGTCATGAGGTCAATACTAGTGAGAGATGGAAATTAGGTGTCCAGAGGAATGAGATTTTAAGATGAGAACTGAAAGGAGAAGGAGGGGTGGAGGAGGTCTGTTTCAACTGCTTAGAATTGTAGAGAATGAGCTGTGATAAAACTGAGAGGGATTTGAGGGGAGCTTCTTGCAAAAGTAAATTTAGGAAAAGGACATAGTATAAAGTGCTTCAGTAAGCCTTGAGAAAATTCTGAAAACAAAATGCACTTTTATATTAATTGTGATTTGAAAGGGGAGCCAAAGTCATTGTTTAAGAAAGGGAGTGATGTTCATGGCAAACAATGGTGAAAATAACTGCAGAAAGGAAAGCCTCAACTTCTATTTTGTTGCTAGCAACTTGAAGAAAGCGTTTGACAGAGTGAGATAACCTTGGCTTTGAAGACATATGGGAAATATAACCTGGCATGTATGGCAACAGAGTCAGGAGAAAAGGCAAGATATCTTCCTTCTATGTCTCTCCATTGATAGATCTATGCCCACTTTCTGATAGAGTTGCATCCAAACTATGGGCTTGAAGCCTCTCTCCTCAAGAGTTTTCTCTTAACTGATGAGGGTCTCCTTTTTCTCTGCTTGTATCTGGGTTTTGTCCATCTTTGTCTAATCTCCTTTCTGTTCTTGTTTAACTCCTCCTTTATTAGGTAGGGCCTCTATACGCTATCACAGACCTCCCTGTTAGGGAAGAACCAGATCAGGGGCAGTCAGTGCAAGTGGAGCACACTAGGTGAGGGGGTTACTGGAGCATAGGCTAAGGTCAGATTGGATATCAGTCCAAGTCCAGGATATCAAGGTGAAGGATACGACAATATCGTGGTCAAGACAAGCAGTTGATCCAAGCTAGAAACTCTCCTGCTGCCTGGTCTGAGTTTATATAGCCAGTGTGGGTGGGGCTTCTCTCTGAGGGATGGCTCAGCTTGATTGTCTGATTATCTCCAGCTAGGACCTGAGACTGAATCAGCCCCAGTTGGTCCTCTGCTCATTGCATTACTTCTTCTCCTAGGGGTACCCTTGGGCCAGGGCTTTCAGGGTGGGCATGGTGGAAGCCTTGAACCAATTCAGCAGTGTGAACATTCTCTGCTGGTGCCCAAAATGGTCCTGTTGTTCATAGATTTCCCAGTCAACAAGATAGAGGAGTATACATCTGATTTTTATTTATCTTTTTTTTATGGTCAGGACTTCTTTAACTATGCACTCTGTTTGTCTTTGAACTAGGATGGGTGGGGGCAGAAGAGTGGAGTGACTTGGGACTGGGTTTCTAGGTAGGGTTTTAATAAAGAAACAAAGAAGACAGAACGGACTTTCTTGGATTTGGGCGGCTGTAGTCAAAAAGCTACGGGTTGATTTATGTAAGTGACCAAAACGCTGGCTTGCATCCATAGATGCTTCTCAAGCAAATCCCAGGATGTCCTTCTCTCCTTGTACTCAGCCTTGGTGAGGCCGCAGCTGGAGTATTGCATCCAGTTTTGGGCTCCACAATTCAAAAAGAATGTGGAGAAGCTTGAGAGAGTCCAAAGAAGAGCCACGCGTATGATCAGAGGTCAGGAAAGCAGACCTTACAATGACAGGCTGAGAGCCATGGGGCTCTTTAGCCTAGAAAAGCGCAGGCTCAGGGGTGATCTGATGGCCACCTACAAGTTTATGAGGGGTGACCACCAGTATCTGGGGGAACGTTTGTTCACCAGAGCGCCCCAAGGGATGACAAGGTCGAACGGTCATAAACTACTACAAGACCATTTCAGGCTGGACATAAGGAAGAATTTCTTTACTGTCTGAGCCCCCAAGGTCTGGAATGGCCTGCCATCAGAGGTGGTTCAAGTGCCTACATTGAACACCTTCAAGAGTAAATTGGATGCTTATCTTGCTGGGATCCTATGATCCCAGCTGACTTCCTGCCCTTTGGGCGGGGGGCTGGACTCAATGATCTTCCGAGGTCCCTTCCAGCCCTAAAGTCTATGAAATCTATGCTGTGATTTGAAATGGGCCCAGGTACTGATGGTCCAGTTTGGAGGAAGGGTGACTGGATTTAAACTGTTGGGAGGATAGCTGCACCTCATCTCCTACCCTGAATGAGAGTGCTTTGGAGTAGTGCTGGTCTGCAAAGTGTTTATAGGTCTCCTTGGCTTGTTTTAGGTGGACTTTTGAGGTCCTCCTGGATATTTTCCAGGTGTCTCACTAGGTGTACTGCAGGTGGGGTCAGTGACTAGATTGGCAGGATCACCTGAAGGCAGGGGTAAATCTATAGTTAGCATAGAAAGGACTATGTTATATGGAGGTGTGATCTTAGATGTTACAGGCAAACTCTTCCCAGCGAAAGGAGGGAAACCCAGTCATCCTAGTGGAAATACAGGAAGCATTGGTGATACAACGCCAACACCTGGTAATTTGCTCAGTCTGACCCTCGGCCTGTGGGTGACAGGTCAAGATGACATAATTCCATCTTTAAAATCCAGAAGAACTCCCACTACAAATAGGATCCAAGTTCATGCCTTTGGTTTGAGATGATGCTGGAAGACATTCCATGGGGCCAGAATGTTTTCCAGCTGGGCTGTTTCTCAGGTGGTGGGCACACCACAACAAGGAATGAAATGAGTCATCTTGGTGAGCAGGAAAAGCTGATGATGACATCCAAAAATGTAGCCCAAATCTGAGAAGGAGTGGGTAGGGGTTATAGCAGGGGTGGGCAAAATGCAGCCTGTAGGCCGGATGTGAGCTACCAGGCCATTCTATCCAGCCTGCGGGGCCCCTAAAAAATTTAGAAAATTAATATTTATCTGCCCCTGACTGCCTGTCATGTGGCCCTCAATGGCTTGCCAAAACTCAGTAAGCAGCCCTCCGCCCAAAATAATTTCCTGCCCCTGGGTTATAGGGACCTGTAGCAGGGCACTAAGGTGCCTGCTACTGACAAACAGTAATATGGGCTCAGCTGCCAGTCACCAGGGCAGCACAGGTGTGGGTTGCCGAGACAACCAGTCTGGTCAGCTGACTGAAAGGGGGCAGGGCCTGACCTACATAAACAAGACAGGCTGAGGCTGGAGGTCAGTTCCCCTCTGGCAGTTGAGGAAGGTGGAGTTCTGTCGGCGCAAGCTGAGTAGGGAAGCCTGATGGTTTGAGCAGTTTCTGCATGAGGATGCTGCTAGGGTGGAGGAAACCCTAGTAGGGATATGAAGGCAAGTTAGCCAGTTTGGCTTGGAATTTATGTTGGAACACAGGAGTGTGAGTTTTCTGTTTTGTTGTTGTGTAAGACCGGAGGACCAGGTGAGGCTGTAGGGGTTGGAGGAAGCCTCATAGGAGCTCCCCAGTAGTGTGGGGGTTCCTGGCGCTGGAGAGGGTGCTGCGTTTTGGGGTGTCTTGACCCTGGCCCCAGTGTGGGCAGTATTGGGAGGAGCCCAGTGTTGGCACAGGTGAGAAGCCCCAGTGGGGTGCAAGACCCGAGAAGGGGGTCTGGAGGCCAGGCATGGCTACAGCCACCTGAGCCTCGATTGTAAAGCCCCAGTGTGGGCGCAGGCAAGAAGCCCCAGTGGAGCGCAAGACCCGGAAAGGGGGTCTGGAGGCCAGGCATGGCTACGGCCACCTGAGCCTCAATTGTGGGAAGCCCCAGTGGGGCGTAGGACCCAAGAAGTGGGTCTGGGGGCCAGGCACGGCTACGGCCACCTGAGCCTCGATTGTGGAATTGCGCGGCAAGGCCCCAGTGCTGGCAGGGACCACGCAGCAAGGCCCCAGTGCGGGCGTGAGCACGGAGACAGGCCCTAGTGCGGGCTGTGAGAGCTCAGACAGGGAAGAGGCCCCAGTGCGGGCTACGAGAGCACGGGAGACGGGCCCCAGAGTGGGCGAGAGTGTGGGAAAAGCCAGGGAGCGCCCAAGAGGATGCAGGCAGATAGGGAGACAAGCTGGAGAGTGTCTGTGAGGGCACGGGCAACAGAGATGAGGCAGAGAGCCCGTGAGGGCCCTGGTGACTGTAGGACTCGTGTAGCCCCAGAGGTTGGAGTGCACCGGGCAACTAGACAGAGCCAAGATACATCAAGGCACCATGCCAAGGAGGGTAAGAAGGCAGCCTCCCTTTAACAAGACTTATCGTCAAAGACGTGGCGGGCGAGATAAAGAGGGTGCATTTGGAACCGATTTGGCACGGTAGGTAGGGGGCGCTAGGGGAGTTCACGGCACCCCTAGGCCCCATCCTGCCACAGGACCCCTTGGCTTGGAGGCTGTTGGTGAGGAAGTAATTTTTGAAGGAGTTGATATATCATCTGATGTTGGAGTGCATCCTTGGCCACCAAAATTGTGGACAATGAGTCCCTTCCAAGTTTAAGCACCTTTTAATCATGTCTGCCTTTCTGGAATATAGATACTCACCTGATAGTAGAATATGCTTACTTCAGTTTTAAGATCTTGGTCAGGTTGAAACCCTGACTCTGAATTCTTGTGGTCAATCAGGACTAGTAATGGGTTTCAGTCTCCCTCCAAATGGTGATGTCACTCAGAAAAGGTTCTGGTTAATAGTTCCTTGTCCCTGATGTCATAGTTAACCTCAGCAAGGGTCATCTTCTGGGAGTAGAAGGCACATGGGTGCAGTGGTTCCCAAGGCCCTCAGTGCCAGGACAGTACTGCTCCAACTGCAAGGTGGAAGCATTTGTCTCCACTATGATAGGTTTTTTACAGCATGGTGTCAAGTTTAGTTTCAAGCAGGTCAGAAGCACAGCAGGAAGGTCTGTTGCTCAGACAACTCTCCTACA